ACTAATAGATTTTATTATAATCAAATAAATTTAAAGACCAAGATATAATTTATCCTTATATTTTTAATTAAAAATAGTTATAATGTTAAGCATGAAAGAAAATAATTAATTATATAAGAAATATAATCTTATTTCAAAAATCTAAAAAATTTAAGAGGATTATGTAATTTATTTATTTTGATAGACTATAAAACATATTAATAAATAAATATACACTTTCTATTAACTAAACTACATAAATAAAATTATTATGGTGATAATTATTATATTTTATTTTTATTTAGTTATTTTTTTCGAACAAAAAATATATTTAATAAGATTTATTTTCGTATTAGTATGTAATTATATTTAAATATAGGTGTCAATTTATCGTTTTTAGTTATAAATTTGAGTTGAATTAAATCCGATTTAATTAAAAAACGTACAAAATTTTATTTTTAATTTAGTGTGAGTTAATAATAATATATCGTATTTATAATATATAATATATAGATAAATTTTTTATTAAAAATAAATAAATAAAATAAGTATAAATAAGACACGTGAGATATTTCTCATGGGTGCGTGTGCTTGGATTCCAGCTCATTGACTCCTTCTGGTCGACCCTGCTGGCTGGATGGCTGTCCTGAACCCAACATTTTTGCTTATTATATATATATATATTTTGGTACGACATTTTGACCATATAATTTCACCTATCAAAAAAATACTATACTATTAATATAATAATATTAATTAAAATATTATATTAATACTTAAATATCATAATTTTAAAATATAAAATTTATTATTTTATAAAAATAATTGACTGATTACAGCAGTTTATAATATCTAATTTAACGAGAGACAAATACTTAATTAATTAATGTATTAATAAAATTATGGTAAGTAAATTAATTTTTTATTAATAAATTATAACGTATAGGGATAAAAGAAATATTCTGTAATATTTATATTCTTTTAGTTAAAATAATAAGAATGGACTAAAAATATTTAATTTAATTTATTATTATTATTTTTTTCAAATAATAGTATTTACTTTTAGTTTTATTTATAATTAAAAAATTATGTTAAATTTTTAATTGATTGTAATTATTTAAATTAAATAAATCTGACTGTTATATAATATTTTTTTTGTTCATAAATGTAATATATAATATATCTATTAAGATGTAATTAAAGTTGATCGTCGTAATTCCACAAATAATTAATAAATTAAATATTATAAGATAAATACTATCAGTTTATATATTTTTTAACTTTTATACTATTTATTTTTATTTTAAATATATATAAACAGCTAAAAAATATATTGCAAAAATCTATTCTATTTAACAAATTTATTATATACACGTGAATTTAAAAAATAAAGAATTCAAAACGATAATAATATAATATTATAATAAATACGTAAGAAACAATTTGAGATTAAAATCTATATTATTATAAATAAGAGAGGGACAATAATAATATAATAAATTTTTTAAAATAAAAAAATAAATAATAATTATAAATAATTAATAAATTTTGACTCAAATATTATATGAACTCGCATCAGAGAGTAAAATATTTACAATATATTAAGTATGCTTTCAAAGAAAAAAGAGAGGTTGGAGGTGAATCACGCGGAGGAAGGTGTGGGTGTTGGTGAGCCAACTCCCAACCCAATGCCAGCTGGCTGTCGGAGGGAGGTCCCCAGCCCAGATCCCTCACTGCACGTGACTCACCCAAAACCCAAATTAATTTCTTCTGCTTAATTATAATAATTATTATTAATTAAATTATAACCTTCTTAATTTTAATAATAATTATTAATTACATTTTAACCCAAAATATCGAATCAATCTCCCTCCCTTTCTCTCCTTCTCCCTTCCCTCTTCCCCTATCAATATATATCCCTTTCACCTTCTATATATACATATATATCTACATATTCTTGTTTTTATATATCACATATATATACCTATATATATATATATTACACATAGCTCTCTCTTGCATTTCTTATTGCTCTTTTATTTTTCCGCTCCTCTCTCTCTCTCTCTCTCTCTCTCTCTCTCTCTCTCTCACACACACTCTCTCCCGTCTTTCTCGTATCTCTCTTCCTCACTCTACCTTCCCCGACCCCGTCCTCTCTCTCTCTCTCTCTCTCTCTCTCTCTCTCTCTCCGATATAGTGGGATAGTTTTTTCTGTGTCTTTTTTAGAGTGTTGTATTCTATGAACTGATTTGTATCTGGAGTAGTTCAGATTCAAATGCGATTGGCTTCGATTCGAATGTACGGATCTGCTGGTGGTAAGACCTTTTTCTTCTATGATCAATCAGGTTTTTCGACTTCATGATTTAGAATTTCAACTATTTTTATTGTAATTTTGAGTTAGATTGTGGCGAATGTATTTGATTGGGGCTTCTTTTGTTTCGGTATTGGATTTTGAGGATTAAAATTTGGAGTTGAAGTTAGGATCTAAGTGTAGTTTAGGAATGGTTTGCTGATTTTAAGTGTCGCAGGTGCAAGTGTCTATAGAATTATGACTTTAATCGGAATAGGTTTTCTCCTACGATCTTGGAATTTGGTCTGAATCCCGCTCCTGTATTCTTAACTGATTTCGTTTGCTTTAAACTTCCGCACATTTTGAAGTCTTATAGATACCGACCTTTCAAAACAAAAGGTTCTCTTTCGTCATTACTGATTGAATTACATGTTCGTGATAATTTCATGTTTCGTAAGAGTTTGTAGTTACGTTTTCGAATTTATGATCTCCGGTCTAGTTGGCATCGTGATACTCATCTTCTATAATTTGGTGGCTCCGTCTTCAGAAAAGTTGCTACCTTTTGTTGTTTATGAACAGATGTTGGATGTTACAGAACCTATACTTAATAATTTATCATCTTTTATGCAGGCTTCACTGGTTGAGATTTGACATGCAGTGAGCCTGTTTGGAACTAAATATGCTTCTTTCTTTTTTGCCTCCATATAGCATGTAAATGTTTTCTTGATTACAGTGATAATATTATTTTGATTAAAAGTTCCCTACTATTAACTTTTCTGTGTATGAATGCTCGCATGAAAGTTGCTGGCAGTCTAGATGGTTTACTAGTCTGTTCATCAACTTCAGTAGAGAGAAGGCAAAAATGCAGTTAGACATGGTAATTCTTTATAAACAATGGGAAGTCTTGATAGTAGTAGGTGTATGCATTGAGAATTTTCTTTGCAGAACACAATAAAGCAAATATGTGGTGCTTGTGATGCAGTTAATGCAGTTAAACATGGTAATTCTTTATAAGCACTCGGCAGTTTTGATAGTAGCATTTAAACAGTGTATGCATTGAGAATTTCCTATGCAGATGCACGATATAATATGTTGTGTTTCTGTTGCAGTTAATGCATTACCATGTTTGTGTTTGCATTTTGTTGTTATTTATTGTTGTACCTAGTAGCTAAAGGTAGATTTTGTAGAAAGGGGAAACGAATACTACTTCTCATTGTATTGCTTCAACATTTAATTTTCTCGCTCTTTAGCCTCTGATTTCTATATCATTGCTATTTTTGAACAGCATGTGTCTTTATTAAGTTCAAGATGTCTCTGCTTTTGTAGGTCAGATGGCCTCCAGCCCACAAAGGAGAGAATTAGAGAAGTTTGTGGTTCTGTATTTTGCTTCCTTATAAGTATTTTTTTCTGAATTTAGAAGGTCCTTTATGGGGTAAGAAGCCTGGGCGAAATGGTTTTGGGTCCCAATCACTTAAGGACATGGAGGAGACACGAAATGATGCAGGGGCAGGACCGACAGAGCAGGGACCTCCTAGTGCACCATGGTGGCCTTCAGATTTTATTGAAAAAATGGGATCTGTTTCTCTGGGTTCCCAAGAAGAGACATTGAACAATAAATCACATAGAAACTTTGAACAAGATGCTTTATCATCACAAAGAGCATCGCAAATTCTATGGAGTACTGGAGTGCTTTCTGAGCCAATTCCAAACGGTTTCTACTCTGTTATTCCGGTGAGAATTACATTTTATTTAGTAGATTTTTGTTTTAGTGATGTCATAGCTTCTGCTGGAACTTGAAAATTGAAACAGATGTCTACTGACGATAAGTTAATGTAATTATAGATTTATTTTTGGAATTATAGATTTATTTTTGGAGACTATCTCCCTAATCAAAGATGATGGGTAGTTAGTGGGTTGATTGACTCTATGCTATCAATTGGTTTCTGCTGTTGTAATTTTCATCCTTTGTGATAGATTCTCTTCCCATCTTGTAGTATGCTTTTAATTCCTTCCCGTTTCTCTGTTTAATAAAGAAAAAAATATTAGAAACTATCTAAGTATGATGTAACTTCTATTTGAGGTAAATAACCATTTTTCTGGAACTGTAGCTGTCATTACAAATTAGTTCTGGATCTTTTTAGTTAGATACTGAAGTTAAAATATAGATTTAAACCTTAGTGGTAGATTAGTTCTAGAAAGAATTTGATTGAAACAGACTTGATTATTCAGGGATCTGATTGTACTAATTTGTAATAGGGGCTATAGTTCTTGGGGACTAAAATGGTAGTCAACCCTTTTTATTTACTTCATTCTCCATAAATTTTTAGATATGTTTTTGCATTTGTTTTTCTTTTCTTGAGATCTAATGTTTGGATCCGATCCTGAATCTAATCATCAAGTTGGTTGTTACCTTAAGGAGCAAAATGGGTGCACGTGGAGAGATGACATTTAAGCAGGAAGCTTTTTTTGTAGTTTTTGTTCTCATTCAAATAGTGGTCATGATCCTTGTATGATGCAATTTTTATTATTAAGATAGCTTTTTTGGTTAGATACTTACAAGAAAGAACTCGTTTTTGGTTAGATACTTACAAGAAAGAACTCGAACATATACACATTTTATTTTTTTATGGGTGTTGATTGTAAAAATGTGGCGGAGAGGCATCACAGCTATTACTTAGAATCCATATTTCAATGCACATCCCTTCCTCAGAGAGAAACTCCTGTTAGTTGGTTTAATTCTTTGCAACTAAGTTTAATGAAGTGTCTTCTAGATTTTGTCTTTGTAGTTCCATCTGGTGATATGTCCTAGCAGGTTTTATCCTTCTTTGACCTATTTATAGACAGAACTAGCAGGGATACAGCTCTCTAGTCATTGTGATCTTTGAGTTTTGCACGGCAGTGTCATCTTTCTAGTTCCATGTTGTTTATTTGATATATGTTTTAGCTGGTAATGATGCCCCTAAACCTTGTAAATTAGCTATTTACTTCAAACTTATTTGTATGGCTTTGTTTCATTAATTTGTTAACATGTAAAATATCCAGGATAAACGACTTAAGGAGCTTTTTAATTGTGTTCCTACTTTGGATGAGCTTCATGCTTTGGGAGAAGAGGGTTTTAAAGCTGATGTCATTCTTGTTGATGCTGAGAAAGATAAAAAGCTATCCATGCTGAAGCAGTTGATAGTGACATTGGTTAAAGGATTGAACTCAAATCCTGCTGCTGTAATTAAAAAGATTGCTGGACTGGTGAGAATGATTTGATGACTTTTATTTCTTTCTCTAGTTTCGCTCATTGCAAGTATCCTGTACCTGTACAACCTTCCCTATTTTTCTATAGTCAATCTTGCTTTTATTGCTTAAGTGAATTATCGATTTGTTTTTCTGTTGTGATTTAATTGTGTTTGACAAAGAGAAGCAATATCTAGCGCCAGAGGAGTTTAATGTTTTGTAGTTTAAATCATATCTCTTGTTTCGATAAGCACTCATCCCCGTGGTTTATGTTTGTGCCTTTAGATGTGGACTTTCGAGGTGCATGCCTCTGCTATTCAATGGTCCAAAATAGTTTTTTTATTGTATTGCTTTGAAGCATTTCCACGATCAGACTAGTGATAACTCTTGAAAAGTCTGAATTATACCTAACTGAAATTTAATATATTGCATAAATAGAATCTTTATACCCTGTTAGCATCATTAATGTGACCTATAGCTCCTTAATTCTTTTTTTTTTTTTTTAAAATTTAGTTGATTATTGCTTTTAATATATGGAGAAAGAAGACTGTTTACTCTGGGGCTTCAAACTAAATAATTGAAAATTGCTCAGTGGCCTAAACTAGTTTAATTAGACATCAAAATTTCCTATTGGATCTTCTCTTTATCCAAACCCATGATCTTGCAACCACATACACAATAATTTAGTGGTTATAATTTTTGTACTTTGCTTGACTACCATGAGTTCGAGCTTCACTGAGGATGTAGAACTTAACGATTTTTCTGTGTATTATGAGATGACCGGTGACCGACTCATAATATTTGATTTAGCTGAGACTTACTCATTAATCTGTTGGTGAGATTGAGTGACCAAGTTAGGATTTGTCCAAACAAACCATCATATACCGGTGAAAGGAACATTCCGTGACGACTAGGTTTTCTTAGTTGGAATAGTTATAATAGATTAGAAAACCTGACATGGACTTTTTTCTTTATTAAAAAAAAAAATCAAGGTCTTGCATAATGAGGATTAAACATTTATGATAAATGTTTCTTTGATCTGTCTAGTAACTTTTCTTTCAAGTCTCAGGAAAATGTTTCTCATTTGAAAATCATGCAATTTTGTTGACAGGTTTCTGATGTTTATAAACGACAAAATCTGGAAAGTCCAGCAAGTCCAGCAAAAGCTGCACTAGATGAAACTTCTCACTTGTTTGAAAATCGTGGTGTTCAAATGCTGGGGCAGATAAAACATGGTTCTTGCCGCCCTCGAGCCATCTTGTTTAAAGTTCTGGCTGATACTGTAGGGCTTGAAAGTAGGCTTGTGGTGGTAAGATCAACTTAATTTTTTCGTCGAACTATTCCATGTTTGTTATTTATTCTACATGATATATATTTTTGCGCAGTAAAAGAAAATATAATTCTTCGCCAAAAGTTATTAATTCTATCTAATGGTGGAAAATGCTTTGGATCTTATGTCAGGGTTTGCCCAGTGACGGGGCTGTTGAGTGTGTAGACTCGTATAAACATATGTCTGTGATAGTTGTGTTAAACTCGGTGGAACTACTAGTTGATCTTATGCGCGTTCCTGGTCAGCTGAGACCGCGATCAACTAAAGCTATATTTATGACCCATATCTCAGCTGCAGGGGAGAGTGATTCTGCAGAAAATGATTCCTGTGATTCACACTAGAGCCCAACAGTCCTTTATATGCCTATTCAGAGAGATGCATACTGACAGTTAGCATGTATTAT